AAACCTGTAAAACGTATGCTATGAATTACGTAGAACAACCTACATCCCGTACGATCGAGACAAAACCATTTGAAAGCTAATTTTTTTTAAATTTTGACAATTTACTTGAAGGAGTTGTAACTTTAGTTTCAGAACCATTTTATATTGAAATCTTTAATCGTCTCCTTACATGATTTGTTGCTCCTAAATCAGTTTTAACCTTAAATTTTTCATTTTGATCCATTATTTTGAAAACCTTAATGAACAGACAAAAATTCTGTTCAACAAAAATGATGACCAAGACAAGATTTTTGTTCGCACAAGTTCCCATTCTATACACATACTCTGATTGCATTATATCAGCTTTATGTAAAAATACCAGTCTAACATTCGAGTTTCCAGTTAATTTAGTACATTAAATGACTTATTGGAAAACATAAAATGAAGCAAACTATGCTTATTTGCAGACGACAGATTAGTAATAAAGAATTAAAGAAACCTGACAACACATTTAAATAACAGTTCGATGTAGAAGCACCAAGCAGACTCACTCGCATAGTTTCGACAGATAAATGTAATGCTTTTAGTGTTACACAAAATCCTAATGACTTCACTTACAAGGTTATATCATCTTTCAATTGTAGTTACACCTTATGTAAGAATCCTGGGTTTTGATTGGTTGATAGCCAGTGTATTTTTCACCAATTTACTGTTATCAAATGAATATCGTTCATTTTTTAACGCCGCCGGGGTATATGCAAAAAGGATATGCCTTTTTTACCCTCTCTGCCATGGTATTTGCCAAAAAATACTCTATCCGACTGGACGCTTGTAACGTCACGATCATCAATGCGTTTTTGAACGTTAACATTCGGTGTAATTAAACAGATATAGCATGTTCTTGAGGGGTATTTGCGAAAAATACCAGTGTTGAGAATGAATTTCCCTCGCCTTACAGCTCGTTAAATTTAAAAGAGGGACGAAAGATACCAGAGGGACAGTCAAACTCATAGATCGAAAACAAACTGACAACGTCATGGCCAAAAATAAAAAGACAAACAGACAAATAATAGTACAGATGACACAACATAAAAAACTAAAGACTAAGCAACACGAACCCCACCAAAAACTGGGGGTGATCTCAGGTGCTCCGGAAGGATAAGCAGATCCTGCTCCACATGTGGCACCCGTCGAGTTGCTTATGATATTACAAATCCGGTAAATAGTCTAATTCGGTAAGTCACATTCAACAGGTATTGTAGTTACGACATAAGGAACATATCCGATATCATCTGTGAAACGGTTATTCCATAACGGTCAACCAACTCGTGATGGCGTCCGTAAAATTTACGAAGGGATGACTTCAACTTCACCATTTGGAACTCTTGGTTTAATAGCTTCCTTGTGAGCAGCAATCCTCTATCAAGGAAATCATGATAGGAAACACAAGCCCGGGAATATCGTATCAATTGGGAGATATATACTCCGTATGCAGGCGCTGCTGGAATGTTGCTACATAGAAATGGAAAGTTCACAATTGGGAAGCTGAAATCATCTCTTTTGTCGTAAAGTTTTGTTTTCAACCGACCCTCATTGTCAATTTCTAGATGTAAGTCAAGATATGAGGCAGACTTAACTGTATCTGTAGTATCCTTTATCTCTAGTTCGATGGGATAGATTCGTTCAACATAGTCACCAAATTTTGTATTATTTAGTGAGAGAACATCATCTATATAGCGGAACGTAGAGTTAAAGGATATTGCTAACTTCTTATCTCTCTTCCTAAGAAGCTCCTGTATAAAGTCAGCCTCATAATAATAAAGAAACAAGTCGGCAAGAAGAGGGGCACAATTGGTTCCCATTGGAATTCCAACAGTCTGTTGAAAAACACGTCCTCCAAACGTAACAAATATGTTGTCAATCAAGAAATCAAGCATCTTGATAATGTCAGTTTTAGAGAATTTTTTGTTTGAATCAGAGTGATTCTTTACAAAGTAGGATTTATCCCTCCCCAAGACAAGATACTTGTATCTACGTTCGCCATTCTTTTTAATGAAACAAAGTAATACCAACTCTTTCAATTTGTCTTTTAGTTTGGAATGGGGAATACTTGTGTAAAGTGTAGAAAAGTCAAATGTTTTAATACTATTGCAAGATGAGAGAGTCTTAGATTGTATGTACTCTAAAAGATCTTTGGAATTTTTTAGTATCCACATCTGATTCACGCCACCTCTAGAATAGGCAGTTTCACAATAACTTTGGAGCCTGGCTTTGATTGCTGATAAAATAGATGTTAATAATTTAGAAAGAGGTTTCGTGGAGCACTTGGAAGACCCAGCATTCTCTCGACTGGTATTTTTTCGCAAATACCCCTCCTTAACATGATATATTTGTTCATAATAGTTAAATCTACAAATAATTTATAATGCATCAAAATAAAATAAAACAATCAGAAAATCCATAGTATTCTCTTGCATTGTATATGTTTAAGGTAATTTTAAAATCGTAATCATTGACCTTGAACTTCATAGAACAAACAATAAAAATCAGTACTTAACCCGTGTATGTTTACTTACACATCTTAAAATGTCAAATTCTAATCATACATATAAAAATGTATATATACTAAAATATCCCTGAAAATTACATATAAAACAAGACCCGATATTTCTTTCTGTTAAACATGATTAAATGTCTCTGAGTAATGAACAATACGTTTCTATATCCAAAATCCTTTCCGGTCCCCATGCTGGGTATTATCCAGGTGATTGTTCTGTTCATTCACAAGAAAGTTCATGCGGTTGCAGTCATCAAGGATTTGGTCCAACTGTCTGAAGAGTTTGCTCACTGTGAGATATGGCTGTATTGTAAATCACATCTGTGTCCATTGATGTGTTTGTGCTTTGACTCACCAACGTATCGGAGACTGGCCACAGGTGAAACATTCTAGAATGTAAATGATATTTGAAATTTAACAGGACACATTGCAAAACATTTTGTTTTTCCTTTGGATGGCATTACTGAGGGATGTTGATAAATAATTCATAACGTTTGTCACCTCTGGAACGGCATTCACATAATCACATATTGGGGTCAAGATTGTGAACAACCCGTTCCCCATTCAAGTTTGCTGTATGAAAGCTATCATAGGAGGCTCGAAAAAATAGTAGGATAGTTTAGGATTTTTTTAAAGGTTATTAATATATACAACAAGGGCCGTAATTATGCGAAGGTCAACCGGAACTTAACTCCATCTGTAAGTCATCATTATACACCAATGAACTAAATATTAACTCCGCATATACAGGCATTCAAATTAAATCTAAAGGTCGTAATTATTTAGAAAATAAGGTTCCTACTCCCCAGGCAAAGTTAACCTGAGGTGAATGTGGTTATTGTGAATGTCCCTTTTAGTCATATAGCTCACCAAGTACTAAAGTATTTGTACATCCCAGGTTTTTCAAATTTTGTTTTTGTTTGATCATTCCTAATGAAGATAAATCCAGAAAGGTGCTTCGGACACACCAATTTATATACAGTTGTTTTCAATAACCTAGCACTGGGACGAAAGTGCTGCTGGTAGATGCTAGTCCCCGATGGTATCATTAGCTCAGCAGTCGACCATGTAGTGGCTTAAACAATTGATTTGTAACATGCATACCTTGCTTAATCATTATCTCAGTAGTCCGTACTTTTGTACTGAAATAATTTCTAACATACTTTTCATCAGTTTTCTTTTTTTGCTTGAAGATAATTTACATCGAATACTTATGGATTTTAGAACAGAGCAATCAGCAATAATGTCTTTCAAAAAATGTATATCTTTTGGGAAAACACAGGTGGAAGATACCAAGCAGGCATTAAAAACTCATTAGTCGAAGAGAAACTTACAACGCCATGGCAAAAAAAAAACAAAAATCGACGAAATGACAGACAAGTCCACAAAACATTTAATAGAAACTTAGACTGGGCAATAATTGGAAAGCTTCTTAATAAAATGGATTGCCAAGATTCCCCGGAAAAATTGGTAAAGTAGGTTAATTTGTTTGGATAACAGATATTGTAATTATTAAAAAGATTTTTCTCAATTATTTTAATTTCTAACATTTCAACGCCCGTCTGGCGTACAACAGTTTAAGCCTGGTATCTATGATGAGTTTATATTCATACGACCATTAAGTAAGAACGAATCTGGCACTTAAAAAAAATTATTCATAACATGAACAAGATGAGATTTGATAGTTCTTATCCTAAATGACAGTATGTGATGCTAAATGTCACCAGCAATAACAAATACAACAGTATTGCTTAATTACAAAACACATTGAAATTTCATAAGATAACACACATATGTTAGTCTTTAGAACTTGTCATCTACCAAGAAGTTAGATTGAGCTTCATCTGCCTGCAAAATTAAAAATAAATCAAGTAAGAAACTACCAGACATGTTGCAAAGCTAATAAAAATATGTGTATGCAGTATCATTGAAGTGTTTGTCATATCGAGAATTGGTTGCATTATCAAAGTTTGTCATCTCAAGAATTGTTTGTATTAGGTGTGTAGTATCAAGGAATTATATGTTTGATTTTCCATCTTCGTTATTTGCGATGGCACCGCGGCTAAGACATTTCATATATTTTTGTAGCTGCGGAACGTAGCTCTTTGGTCCTGTGTTGATTTCTGATTTGTACGCACCACATATGTTCCGGTCATTTCAATAGACGTCTTTTGTGATGTTTCCGGCAGGAGATGCAAATTGTACTTATACTTAGACAGCTGGTGGTGGTGGCTCCGTGAAAAACAGGATTCACATTTATACATGAAAAATTTAACAGATACACATATCGGTGTAAAAGAAGTAATGAAATGTTCCGTGAAAAGAGGAGTCATCAATAGTATGTAATCATTTATTTCATTATCATACATGTAGTTTCTAATATAGTGGAGGCGTGAGGTATGAGCATATGATTGCAAAGGAATTCTTTTGTCACTTGCAAGGGGTTTTGGTGTCAGTTTACTTACCAAAGTACTTCTGTAACTTCCTATCGTCTTTGTCCACTTCCTCCAGTGACAAGATATCTTCGGACATGTATTTCCTAATTTTCCACAATTCCCTGTCTGTAATAGAATTGAACAGTTTTGTGTTTCAAGTGTTTCATGAATGGTCACTACACATTGACTTAGGTCATGTATGTATTGCATTATTTCAATTATAATGTCAACATACTTGAAAAGAAAAACAAGATACTAAAATATATAACGGAAATTTGCGGTCGATTAGATCATTTTAGAAAAGGGGAAAAGTGATCATCAAAATAATTCTGTATGGGGATGTAAAAAATATTTGGTGAAATGAAACAAATAATTCAAGAAAGGTTTAAATAAAAGGGTGATATAAAGTGGGTGAAAGTTATTGAGAGAAGAACATAACCTCAAAACAATCAAAAGATTGAAGTCACAGTTATTATAAACTTTTCGGGCAACGAATGTAACCGTTTTAATAATGATATTTTGTCGGGCAAGGAATGTACATGTTACAATAAGGATATTTTGTCGTGCAATATATGTTAGGTCATGTTAGTGTTATAATAACGAAATATGGTCGGGCAATGAATGTATCTGTTTTAATAACTATGTTTTGTCGGGCAACGAACGTAAATGTTTTAATAGCAATATTTTGTCGGGCAATGAATGTACCTGTTATGATAACCATAGTTAAATAAATAATTTATCTCAGATGTTATTACATTTACCTACAAATCCTTTAGCCATAGTGAGCTGGACCTGTATTCCCTGTTCGGAAGTGTGCCTCTTTCCACTTAGTACGTCTGCATCAAAACGACTGGTAAATAATAGTTCTTTAAACCGGTTACTTCTTATAATTTGGAAATCGACTTTAGCATTGTTGTATACTTTTGCACCTGCCTCTTTTGAATCTATCATTTACAGAAGTTGACTGAGATTCTAGGTATGAAAATCGGGTTTCAACATCTGAAATTAATATGTTGTATTACATATATTTAATTCCAAATAGCTGTATTTTCCTACGAATTTTGTGTTCTACGACTTATCATAATTATGCATGAATTATTTGCCAAAAAACATTTGGCAAACAGCAATTAAATGTTACATGTACTACGGTTTCAGAATATTTCTAAGCATTTTTGCGCAATACCATGTGTTGTGTGAAAGAAAGAGAGAGACTGATTGTACTACTGTGAACTAATACAAATGAATTGTACTACGATGTACTAATGAAATCTTGATTTTACTAGATACGGCCAAGTCAGGAACCTCTATCGTTTGTTAGTCTTGTGCATTTTTAAAATTTTGGTTCATTTGTATGTTTTGGATTTTAGCGTGGCGTCCATTTCGCTGCACTTGTATACATTATGATTAAGAGGCCAGCTGAAGCCCGCCTCCGGATGCGGGATTTTCTCGCTGGCTGCGTTGAAGACCCATGGTGGCCATGGGCTGTTTTCTGCTTTTTGGTTGGGTTGTTGTCTGACACATTCAACATTTCCATTCTCTATTCTATATAAAAGTGATAAATTTGTCCAATAGTATTTCTTAGAAGTGAGTTTATCTTTTCTATGAAGAGTCGACCAAATGTATTACTAAACAAAATATCTGTCTGCTTGAAATCTAAGGATCAGGCATAATGATAAGCAATAAATCAACTGTTTACCTCTATAAAACTTTGAGATTTTTATTACTCGGTCATGGTCATCTCTGAATCTCTCCGTAAACAAATACAATTCAGCTGCTCAGTTCCTAAAAAAACTTTCTGCCTTCACTAATATAAGGTATTATAGATGTAAGCTATTAAGTGGCTTCTTATAATATCAGAAAATTTATACATGTCCCAAAGAAGCTATCTGAAGTCATCACTATATAACTGCGGTTTTACTTTTAAAACATCGTCAGTTTTCCCGTGTCCCGTATGCGCTCACTGTTAGGGTAATTTTGTCCCAAAAATATGATGGATTGCACGCAAACATGTAACAGGCTCCATTCTATATTAATTCACAGACAGTCCTATGTATATTTTAACCTAGTTTAAGCACCCTTTTGAAAAAAAGTCACCATGCACTCTACGCCACATTTCCCGAAATTTCTTTGTTCCTATAGTTTTTGAAAGCGTATATTTTCTGGATGTTAAATATTCTTTGCATGCATAACCAATTTATAGAAAAAAAGAATATCAAATACTAATAAACAAGGTAATATTTTTTTCTGACTGTTAATGACGTCTTTACACTAAATCCATTGGATGTTGGATGTGTACTGATTGATATATAGACTCAGATACATGATTTATTGGCTTTGAACTAGCTGTCAGAAACTGCGAGTACTCTCAAATCTGTACTTTGTGTCTTTTGTTGTAATGGAAGTATAAATACCCTGCCACATTTTTGTTAAATGTTTGTCTGCTCTGTATCGATTTGATGAGTTGAGCCATTTTCAACTTATTTTTATAGTTTGTTCTAATGTTGTGTTGTAACACCACTGTCCAAGGTTAGGGGAGGGTTGAGCGCTCACAAACATGTTTAACCCCGTCACATTCCTTATGTGCCTGTCCCAAGTCAGGAGTCTGTAACTCAGTGGTTACCGTTGATTCATGTCTGTCATATTTGTTTTTCGTAAATTGTTTTGTTATAAATTAGGCCGTTAGTTTTCTCAATTTAATTGATTCATATTTTTCATGTCGGGGCCTATTATAGGCGACAATACGGTATGGGTTTTTATCATTGATGAAGGCCGTACGGCTGCCTATAAATGTTTACATCCACTTCATTTAAACTTGGGTGGATAGTTGTCTCATTGGCAGTCATATCACATCTCCTTATTTTTATATACTACATTGGTGTTGTATAAAAATAGACATCATATTTTCCTGTTTTTTTTAACAAATAAATCAACCACAAAATGTCTGCTATGTGAATCTGTGGTTCTGTCCTAGCACTATGGCTTCCTTCAACAATAAAGCTGACCGCCAAGATATAGCCATTAGTGCTGAATGTGGCGTTACTTCACCAAAAAAAAAATCAATCAACCAATCTGTTGTGTGAAAATATTCATTTTTTTGTTTATAGTAGATCTATTTTTTCATCTTCACAGAACGTCACAAAACATGCGTTTTATACTAAGTCTTGTTTAAAATCAACAACTGAAACCGCCGAAACCGAAAAATAACCCGTTTGAAAACGGTCTAAAATGTCAAAGAAAATTGAGTGGAAACCGATACCCAGTTTTATGTTGAAATTGGGATAGCTAAAAACAATTTATAGTATAAATGTACATTAATTGTGTTCCTGGTCCATATTACTTCCTATCAGAAAACATTAATCCATGTATATTTGCGAGAGCATATATTAAACAAAATACATATGAACTTTGTAACATAAAAATTAAAATGTTTTTATAAATCGGATTTCAACCTGCAAATAGTAGTTTAATTTTGGTCTATATACAAAGGGATATAGTTTCCATACTTTTCCAAATTTCAAAATAATAATATAAAGTATGGATCGCCGACCTTTTTAAAAACTTAAGTTTGTGTAAATTATCATATTTTGTAAAGATTATACTTGGAAAAGGTACATTTATGTGAATAAAAAGAAAACTAAACGTTAGAGTTTAAAATAATATATATATATATATATGAGACGATAGCTCTTATAATGTGCTTTCCGATGAGGATTATTTGTCAGAGTTAACCCGATAAAATATGAAATATGAATTATAAACACTAGTATAAGCCACACTTTATGAAAAAAATAATATAACGGACCTCTTATGAATCAAGTGTTGAAGAAATAAGATTATGAAAAGAATATCAACTACTTTCAAAGAAAACAATTAAGAAGCATTTAAATAATAATGTAAACTGAAAAAAGACACATTCAGGGAGAGAAATTATTAAATAACAACAAACACAAAGAAACGTATAATAGGAGAAAGAGGAAAAAAAAACCCACCAAAATATTAAACATTTCACTCGCCAAGATTAAAGAAGTCTTGCGATAAAGAGAACATTGCTAAATTTAAAAAAAAGAAGAATCTGATAATACACAAACAGTAAAAGAAAATAAGACATCGAAGTTTATAGACGAAGATATTCAATGTGATATTTTGGAAGCATACTCGTCCTAAGAGTACAGAGGTAGTGTCAATTTTTCCCTGCATTTGACACAAAAATACAAATTTTGCACGAGTTTTTAAGATATGATTTTAATTCTATGGAAATTTGGATATCAGCAATGTTTACTTATTAAAGAAATTCAATGTTAATTCTAAGGTCACTTTAAGTGGCATTTTCACATATAATATCTTGATTGTCATATAAACATAATTAATTTGTGACAAAAACAAAAACAAACATAATATAGCATGTAATAACAATTTTATAAGATATGAACACATGGACAAAAATATAAGACTTCTGCCCTCAGTTCTAATGACTGTTTTATAAAGGAGCCAATATTTTAAACATGTTCCATGATAGAGGGGTTTAGCATTTCTTTTACTTTTTGTTCTTGGGTAAGAGACATAAAATCATGAGAAGGTAAAAAAAATTCAAATAGATTATCCCTTAGTTTTTTTGTTAATTTTACATTCAAGGAGAAAGTTAAAGACGTGTACGCTTGAATCATTCTTTGGAACAACGTCAACATCCTCGTTTTATTGGGAACGTCGTGTAACGCTCAGTGGTACCAATACTGTGCGTAACGTCTCTGCATACTTAGATAGCTATAAACGTATGCTAACGATTCTACATTGCGCGAACAGTATTTCGGTAGTTACCCTCAACAGGTAGGACTGAGATGAAAAGTTTAATTTTACTTAAGGTTTTATAAAGCAGGGAAAAAAATGAAATGACACCTCATGGTTTAACTGGTAAAATGAAGAGGTCCATTCAATCTAATTAAAATTTTGATCTCTGATTTCGTTATCCAAGTTACGATAGATCGATATTTTAATTAGATTGAGGTCCGTTATGTGTTTTACAAATTTCTCAGATAAAAAGAACTATAAAACATATTATATTGTAAGGCTCTATAAAATAATTGTTATACTTGGTATCCTTTTAATAATTACCTTTCTCAGACTTCCACTGTAGAACCACTTGATAAAAAACGAAACACACGAAACCAATAATCACACATACTGCTGTAACATCCTTCCATATACTGCTTACATATACACTCGGAAACTGTAAAAACAAACATTAAAACTTCTCAATCTTTATTCTTTTAATATTTGAAATCATAGTATTTATATTTTGCATTATGAAATGAAAAATAGATATCTGTTTTCAGTTTAGGTTCTTTCGATTTTTGATTTTCCAGGTCAGATTTTTACTCAAACATAAAAAATAAAGCATAAACAACACTAATATTTAGTCATGTACTTTTGTATCATTCTGACAAACACCTATACTGATGTCATTTGATCCGGGGTGCTGAGAAATGACACACATTAAGTCCAGACTACGAAGTCGTTACAAATTTGTACTTTTTTTTTCTTTTTTGAAAGTCTTCTGGTATTCTAGTTGAAAGGATCTTAGTCTACATAAATTATCATAAATCATTGTAAATACTTGAGATACCTACCTGACTGGAGTTGAATTCGAAATTAACTAGTATGGAAACCATCTGGAATTTCGTTCTATAAAAAGTAAAAACGAGAAGGGTTTTTAACAAATGGCTATATCTCAAATATCGTTTCATTGTTGTATAAAACAATCATCTGTTTACAGAGGGTAAAACTCTTTATGCGTCCATCACTCTTAGAGTGGTCCTTAAAAAAGTTTGTTTATTTGTGAAATAAACGTTATTTTTTTTATAGTTCTCATACTACATATCCTTATTATTATTTAAGTATCTATTAAAACGAAACTATATTCTCTAATATACGCCACCAGTGTCAATTAAATTAAGCTATAAGATAAACTTACTTCAGATTGTAAGATAGCTGATTCTCGTGCCATAGTTTACAAAACAGGGTAGTTTAAACATTCACCCACAAAACTATGCCTGCCATGTTGGGGTTACCTAATCTTAAAGCAGTTGTTACCTGCAAGAAGTCTGTACAAACCCCCGTGCTGCTATAGGATTCAAGTAACGTCACAAACGTCAGAGCCTTTCTCTTGAGAAGATCTTTGAAATAGTTTTCACCGTACGGACGACGGACGCCAAGTGATGGCAAAAGATCACTTTTCCTTTTCAAGGAAAGGTGATCTAAAATGCATTAGAATGATGTCTAAATTAATTCAAACTGGTTGCAATTTAGTAACTATTGTTTTATCATACTGAATCTGTTTTTTTTTGCTCCAATGACTATGATACTATTAATAAGGTAGCACTGACAAGAAAAGGGCACGGTTGGTATCAAGGAAATTTCCTCTCTGTTGAAAAACATGTCCACCAAATATGTTGTCTATTAAAAAAATCCATCATATTGGTTATGATATTTTTACAGAACTTTTGTAAAAATGAGATTAGATTTTCAAAGTATGACTTCCTAAACAGGAAAACAAAGCGATGGAAGATACAAAGGGACATTCAAAACTCAAAATTTGAAGAAAAGCTGACAACACAACGCCAATGCAAAAATCAAAAGATAATGAAAAGAACAAGAGGCTCTCACGAGCCTGATTCGCTCACCTTCAATTTTTTGCTTAAATCTTTCATCAATGATTATTTTTGCTTTTCAATATTTATTAATGAGTGGCATAAAAATGCCATTTAAAGTTCTTTGTATCTGTCATATTTTCTTTAAAAGCAAAAAAAATGCATTTTACCCCTATGTTCCATTTTAGCCATAGTGGCTATGTTTCTTGACGTACAAGGAAATAAATTCAAATTTATACTAGATACTCTGAAACTCATTCAGCCCAAGTTTGGCTGAAATTGATTCAGCAGTTTCAAAGGAGAATATTTTTTAAAGTAAGCAAACTAGATGAACAAATTGTGAAAAATTGTCTTTAAAGGACAATAACTCCTTAAGGGGTCAATTGACAATTTTGGTCATTTTAACTTATTTGTAGATCTTACTTTGCTGAACATTTTTGCTGTTAACAGTTTATCTTTTTCTATAATAATATTGAAGATAATAACCGAAAACTGCAAAATTTCCTTAAAATCATCAATTCAGAAGCAATAACCTAAAAATCAGATACCCGATTTGGCTGATAATTTCAGGACAGGTAGACCTTGACCTAATGAATACTCTAACTTCTTGTCTGATATGCTCTAAATGCTTTAGTTTTTGAGATATAAGCCAAAAACTGCATTTTACCCCTATGTTCTATTTTTAGTCATGGGGGCCATGTTTTTTTGACGAAACAGAAAATAAAACTCAAACTTTGTTCTAGATACCCTAAGGATCATTCAACTTAAGTTTGGTTGGAATTGGTACAGTAGTTTCAGAGGAGAAGATTTTGTAAAGATAGAAAACATGATTAACGAATTGTGTAAAATTGTCCTTCGAAGGCAATAACTCCTTAAGGAGTCAATTGACTATTTTGGTCATATAAAACTTATTTGTAGATCTTACTTTGCTGAGCATTTTTGCTGTTTACAGTTTATCTTTATCTATAAATATATTCAAGATTATAAATAAAAGCTGCAAAATTTCCTTAAATTTACCAATTTAATGGCAGTAACCCAACAATGGGTTGTTAGATTCATCTGAACATTTCAGGGCTGATAGAGCTTGACCTGATGAACATTTGTACTCCATTTCAGATTTGCTCTCAATGCTTTAGTTTTTGAGATATAAGCCAACAACTGCATTTTACCCCTATGTTCTATCTTTAGCTATGGCGGCCATTTTTTTTTTGACGAAACAGAAAATAAAACACAAACTTTATTCTAGATACCCTAAGGATCATTCAGCTTTAGTTTGGTTGGAATTGGTCCAGTAGTTTCAGAGGAGAAGATTTTGTAAAGATAGAAAACATGATAAACGAATTGTGTAAAATTGTCCTTGAAGGGCAATAACTCCTTAAGGGTTCAATTGACTATTTTGGTCATATAAAACTTATTTGTAGATCTTATTTTGCTGAGCATTTTTGCTGTTTACAGTTTATCTTTATCTATAAATATATTCAAGATTATAACCAAAAACTGCAAAATTTCCTTAAATTTACCAATTTAGTGGCAGCAACCCAACAATGGGTTGTTAGATTCATCTGAACATTTCAGGGCTGATAGAGCTTGACCTAATGAACATTTGTACTCCATTTCAGATTTGCTCTCAATGCTTTAGTTTATGAGATATAAGCCAAAAACTGCATTTTACCCCTATGTTCTATCTATGCGGCCATGTTTTTTTGACGAAACAGAAAATAAAACACAAACTTTATTCTAGATACCCTAAGTATCATTGAGCTTTTGTTTGGTTGGAATTGGTTTAATAGTTTCATAGGAGAAGATGTTTGAAATAGTTTACACCGGACGGACGACGACGGACGACAACAGACGACGACAGACGACGACAGACGACGACGGTCGCCAAGTGATGGCAAAAGCTCACATTTCCTTTGGAAAGGTTAGCTAAAAATAAATCCATACAACATTACATAGAAAACAAAAGACTGGGCAACATAAACCCCATCACAAACTGGGGGTGATCTCATGTGCTCTGGAAGGTTAAGTAGGTCCTGCTCCACTAGTGGTACCAATCATGTTGCTAGTGGTAGTTACATATTTGCCGACAAATCTCATTTAGTGGTGTCACAATTGTGAAAAGAGGACAGGATTATGATTACGACAATTGGAAAACAGATATCTCATAATGGTTATGCAACTCGTGATGGTGTCTGTAAAACTTTATTAGTGTAATGACTTCAACTTTATCACTTAAAACTCTTTGTTCAATTGCTTCTTTGTAATGTTAGCAGCAACCCTCTATCAAAGAAATCATTTTATGAAAGGAAACGCAAGCTCTGAGATACGGTATTAACTTGTAGATATATACTCCAGAAGAAATTTGAATCATCGTCAATTTTTTTATGAAACAAAGTACTGCTTATTCTTTCAATCTGTATTTAAGTTTTGAATTGGGGAATGTAAAGGGTGGAGGACTGGGGAATACCAATGTAAAGGGTGGAGAAGTCGAATGTATGTTGCATGAAGAAGGTGACATTGTGTCTACTCCTTACAATTAATGTTTGTTTTGTGTTGAGATACAACTCATTTTGACCTATAGAAGGTAATTTTATGGTATGATTAAAACCAGGTTTTGGTTGCTGATACAATAGATGTTAGAATTTGGAAAGAAGTTTTTTTGAGCATTTTGCAGACCCAGTAAAAGTACATTGTAAGGAAACATATGTAAATTGAATATCCAGTAGAATAAAAGAAGATCCATTTCATCTAAGATTGAATTTCCAAAGGAATATACAGATATATGATTCTCCGTGATTTCATGCAAGTGTTGTAGGGTTACCAGTAAATTATCAATATCAGTTCCCTCATCAAAGTGATGATATAATGTAATTTACAATAAAACAGCTTCTGTAAATTCAGGAATTGTTGTGATTTTATTAATAGGAGAAATGTGACAGCATCAGGTTCCCAATGATAAAATCTTTCATTCATAATTTAAGGTCAAGGGACAGTCACATATTTTGTAAAATTTTGCATACAACTAAAAGATGGACGAAAGATACCAGAGGGACAGTCAAACTCATAGATCGAAAACAAACTGACAACGCCTAAAGCTTGTTGAACTATAACAGAAATTTGAAAAAAATAATGCATTTTTTAAACTCTTTTATTTGATGAAATATTATTGATTGAATTCTATCAAAATAGGTGTACATTTGTATAGAAAGCATATAAAAGTCGGCGAAAACATTTTTGAATTTGTCTAAAATTCATCAAATCTCTGATTTCAAATCCATAGATTTTTCTGTAAAAATGTTATGTTTTTTATACATAAAATTCAGTTTTAATAATATAACGTAATCATATGGTCACTGACTTTGTTTTTGTTTCATTAACCAATCTGTTACCTAGTTGGCAGTAAAACGCCTGAAAAATTGACGTTTTACGTTTTAACATATCATTTTTAAAGAAAAATCAATGAATTTGAAATTAAAAATTCAATCAGTAATATTTCAGATAATAAAAGAGATAAATGTATTATTTCGATTTTCTGTTGTAGTTCAAAGAGTCAAAGTTGTTTGAAATTTTTTTACCAAAATCAGTGGATTTTCGCTTTATAAAATTTTTGCTATCGCATTAATAAGACATTTTTACCAGTAATCACTGATTCACAATAATAAATGCACACATTAATTTCTAAAAAATTTAGTGTTTTGTCTCATCACCCTCAGTGAGAAAGACAACTATGTAAATAAACATGATAAAATCCAAATTTTTTTTTAGGTATTTCGAAAGTCTCGACATTAAAATAAGGAGATGTAGTATGATTGCCTGTGGGACAACTATCCACCAAAACCGTAAATAACTTGGGGGCAATGTACAATCTTCCACAACGAACACAAAAGTGTACAGGCTGATATGGTTGCCTGCTTTACTTATAATTGAACTTATGTTGAAAGTCTTTAATATGAGGGCTTTTATACAAGCATCACATAAACTTAACATTATCAATGATCCATGTAAATGAGTCAAAGGTCAGATGAATCACGCCAGACTACTATGTTTTACATTTTACAATCATACCATGCACCATATATAGGTAGCCTATCGCTAATAGTATCTAAGAAA